GAAATTTGATGGACATGGCTTTCATGTACTGTGAAAGTTTCTGCGGTAATCCTGCTGTTCTGCAGTTTTTTGATGATACTATGAAGTTCGGGCTTATTTCATCCACGACGTTGTGCATCATTTCAGTTTAAAAAACTGTTAAATTTGGATCTCATTTTTTCGCAAATTTCTAGCCAACATTATGTTAAGAAGATGAATTATATCTAATTTATGTGCTATTTACACTCACAACAGTAGTTTAAACGTATTAAAATCGATGGATGGGGATAGATAAAAATGAAATATCTTGGCGATTTATTTTTCCTTCCAATCTTTATACTCATATGCTTGAGTGTGTATGGGTGTTTGTGCATGTGTGCGCAGCCTAGGATACGAGACTACTACTCGTTGCTCTGAGCAATTTGAGTAGGGCATCAAGAATTGTGAACCAATTAAAGACTTTATTGCAATTGCGATAACTCAAATATTCGCCAGGCTGAGCTGATGATCCTAACAGATCGGTAGAATGGATACGAATATCTTCTGAAGCCTCCTCTAGCTGAGTTTTTAAGTAGCCTCCTTTTTGTTTTCCCGGAACCAAAGGAGGATGCTTTGTGGTTTACATCAACCTGAGCGCCATGGTACTGCCAAATGATGCCAAAGCAACAGGAACACACTGTAATTCTGTGGTAGAGCTGACCCGAGTAGGTCATATTACATATTTTCACTACAGGGTTGAAAAGATTTTATCATAGCATTGTGTTTATGACTGGGATTGAGAAACTTGTAAACTTCTCCTGCCATTGCTGCAGTTCTGGCTTAATAAGCAACAAGGAATGTCGAGCTTTGGTAAGTGCATTAACTCAACAGACATTTAATAGTCACCTTTTATAGGAAGAGGAAGGATCCATCCAAAGTGTTTTTTCCTGCCTGATATAACAAATTAATTATTTCACTAATCGTCGTACCATGTTGTCGTACAGTTTACTTCTGTACTGGGCTTAGCCTATCAAATAATCCCTATATGTCTGTCGACTTTACGAATAAATTTTCCCTTTACCGGGTTTTAAATTGTGAGTTTATGGTCTCTACCTCCAATGCTTTCAGGTCAAAATGAGCAGACGATCACGATTCGACTGCAGCCGAGTCCGCCTCGAGGCTCAAGCAAAGGTCGTAGGCGGTTTTGGGTACATCTAAAGTCGCCAACTGGGGCGGTGCTCGGTGCCTACCGGACAGCTTCTATAATCGTTCGAAGTATGGGCGTTATCAATTGTTCAATTATGTTCTAAAATCATTTTTTTTAACTGATCAGGTTTACTTTTAGATCAGGTAATTTATATTCTTTTTTTTTCTCATCTATATGGAAACATCATGGCCAGACAAGAGCCACACCAATAGACAGAATCC